ACAAACTGATAATTATAATTTAATTAAGCTGTCATTAAACGTCTCTCTAATCCTGTGGTCCATTTAACACTATTTAATTACATTGCATGTGACTACAGCTTCAATCTAGCGATCATCGTGGCCTTTTCTCATGATATCAACTGCACTGCAGCACCCCTTCTTAAATTTTAAACAAATAAAAAAATAATTTAAAAACATTTTTTGACTTAAGGCTAAAAAATAATTTAAAAACATTGCACTCTATTATTTACATAGAAGCTAAAGACAAAGCAGAGAAGAGAAGCATACAAAAACAGAGAGATAAGGATGCGATGAGACGTCAACAACGTCCACGTTCCTCACCACCGCAATCTCCGTCTTCATCTTCATCGGAGTTTGAGTTCAACATCTCCATCTCTCCTCGAAAAGCTTCTTCCTCGCTTTGTCCCGCCGATGAACTCTTCTACAAAGGCCAGCTTCTCCCTCTTCAGCTCTCCCCTCGTCTCTCTCTCGTCCGTACACTCTGTTCCTCTTCTTCCTCCTCTGATTACACTTCGTCTTCTTCCTCCGCCGCACGTGACTCCACCGAGTCTTCCTCCTCCACTGACTCCACGGCCTCTTTCCCTCTCCTCCGCCATCCGCCGCTCGATGGCTGCGACTCTTCCCGTCCTAGCTCCGTAACCGACGAGGAAGATTTGTTCTTTAAGCCGGCGAAGAAGAACACTAGCGGTGGCGGCTTCTCACTCTCTAGATTCTCCTCTGTTTTCAAGAAAGAACCCAAAACCGTCTCCGCCGCGGCTCCGTCGTCGGTGAAGAGAATGAGCTCAACGGCGAAGGAAGTTATCCGCAAATACATGAAAAAGGTCAAACCTTTATACGACAAGCTGTCTCAGAAACAGAGCACCACCGTCGCATCTTCGAAAACAGAGCAATCATCTCTCAAACATTCCGGCAACATCCGAGGAACCTCCGCCGTCGCCTCCTCCATTCCGGCAGCTGCCTCCAGCGGCGGCGGGATATCGATCTCTTTCTCGGGGAACCTGATGAAATACACGAAACGTGGACGATGCGCGGCGAGCTGTCCGTCGTCGATGAGGTCATCTCCGAGTCATTCAGGTGTACTGACACGTGGCGGGTTTCCGGGTCAAGGAGGAGGAGGTAGCTGCAGCAGCAGCATCAACAACAGTATGTCTTCTTCGATGGAAGAGTTGCAGAGTGCTATTCAAGGAGCTATTGCTCATTGCAAGAACTCAATGATGCAGAAGAATATGGTTAGTAGTCTTGAGATCTAGTTTTATGCATTCCATATATGTTTCAATGTTCTTTGTGTTTCTAGACATTCTAAAAAGTTTAATCTACTGTTTTTGTCTTAGAATTGCCAGTGTGATCCAAACATCTGATATAATTAACGATGTTATTGGTTATTTTATCTGTTTGATTAACTTAACTCAGAATAAGACATTGTAGTTGGTGGTTCATTTCAAGATCCATCTTTATTTCAATTCCTTTTCATGTTATATATGTTATCCAATTGATTTTAATGGACAAAAACTCATGCATATCATTCACAAAACAAAACCAAGCTTGCATTATCCAATTAATATAAGTTCATTAGAGTTTTGTATATATTTCATGGTATCTAAAAAGAATGCTTCCAATGAACATTTTGTTTTCTTTGCTTCCATACCTTGTGGTTTGTTGGACATGATTAGTTGATAAATGAATTTAGAGAGCATATAGACGTTGTGAAATAATTGAGGGAAACAAGAAAACGACGGTGGGGTTTATATTTTAAAAAATAATTGAAGAATTGGATTATTGAGTACTCATCAGTACTCTTCTGTGATGGTTCAGTTCTTCGTACCTCATCACCTTCCTCTATATGGTTATTGTCGGTGTTCTCTGTTAAATAATAAATTAATGTGCCTTCTCCATTTTAATATCTCAATCAGTGATCTCACATAATATATCCAACTCTTTTTTTTAATAGTATTTTTTTGCATATCTATCTCCAACTATTTGATAAAAAAAAAACTCTCCAACTATTATCGTGACAATGGCACTCCAAACATTTGGTGTGTGTGTGTGTGTGTTTTAAAGACATTTGTATGCGGAAAAGATATTTTAGTTATTGTTTCTAAGAGTGATTTCGACATGATGTAACCTACGAAATGCTAAAAAGTCACTGGAAGTAACGTTAGTTATATAATGTACCTTTTCATATATTTTAAGAAAATAACACTCCTCCAACTGACTGATTGAAAATAGGAAATATCTATAAAGCGGATCGGTAATAGGTATAAATTTTTCATCTTTATTTTATTGTTAGAATTTTCAAATTTTACGAACGAGCAAAAGAACCCAGCACCACCGCTTCAATTGGTGACAACATAACTATAACGGTAGACTGATCAATATAAATGTAATATATGTGCAAAAATAACAACAGAAAGGGTCAATCAGGTGAAAGAGCAGGTGAAAACAAATGGTAAACTTTTTTGTTTGTTGGAATCAATAATTTATCCGAGTGGGAAAGATTCCTATGTGGATCTAGCTATACCTCAATTCGAATAGCACCATATACGAATCTTTATTGTTCACTGTTTCAGCAAATCTAAACGATTAGATTACTAGGATGTTCAATTGATTGCATGTAACATAGATCAGCCTGGAGTTTCATTAGGTACACTACAATCATAATTTAAAATTGATATCTTGTAGTCATACCATTAACTGGTTACTCATGACAATAAACATATTTTGTAGATTTTGTTAGGGTATTCTGAAAAGATATTAGTATGATGGTAGAGTTGGTAGTACAATCAATCGTATACGTGGAGTAGAAGCTCAAAAACATTAATCACATTTGCCTCTAAGTGGATGGATGCATCATGCATGTGCATTTTGCATTGAGAAGCGTTGGCTACGTAATAAAGATTCTGATGTGGTCAAAGTCAAACTCCTCTAGTCCTCTTCAGTGGGTTTATAGTATTACACTACAAACTAAAATATTTACTTTTCTTTTTAATCATAGCCAACAGTGTCCTCATTTAATGATGGGGCTCTTGAGTTTTTCTTCTTGACCATCTTGATGTCTAAAAATACAAGCGCATTGAAATTATATGTTGGGACCTCTTCTTTAGGACTTGACACAAATACTTGATATTCATCTTGTACTTGCTATTTAACTCAGTTTGGTTTGAAAAAACAAGTATTTGTTACAATCAAATCGAGTAGCAAGTAAAAACATTTTATTACTCGCAAATACAAATCAAATATCAAATTCATTTTTATTTTTTAACTATTTTGCTTGTTACTTAGTTTGTAACTTGTTATCATTTATTTGTCCTATTATTTGTTATATATTACTTGGTTTATTAAATATTTAATATCCATTTTATTAGTTAGTTAAATTTTTGTGTATTATATTTTATTGGTGACCATAATTACTCGTTGTTTGCCTCTTATTCGATACTTGATGGATACATGATCTTTGAAAATTAGTATTTGTTATGAACAAGTTAAGTATCAAGTAATCTATTTAAATTACTTATAAGTATAAAGTAAGTATTAAATAAATTAATTACTTGATGTTATTTTGTTTGTTACTTGTGTTTGTTAATGAACAAAGATATATTTTTCTAAATCATAGTAAAATAACTCATTTCTATTTCCATTTTCATAAGTACATCAAATATAAGTGCTATATTTATATAAGCATCTTGAAGTTTTCTCTTTCTTATATAGTCTATTTTCCAAATGACTTAAATACAAGAAAAAATGATATATTATTTATATAATAAATTTATTTAAATTTAAATTCTAATGAACTATCCAATAATTTACCAAAAATTATGAATGATTTATAAGTAATTTACAAGTAACAAGTAATAAAACGAGTCAAGTAACTTACAAGTACATCAATTTCAATTTTTTACAAGTACTTGAAATTGCGAGTATTTGTTTTTTGCAAACCAAATACAAGTCAAATTATTTACTACTCGTATAAATCAAGCCGAATACTAAGTATACCAAAAATACCGAGTATTTGGCTTGTGCCCACCATACTCCTCATCATTATTATCATTTTCTTCAAAATCTTAATCGTTTGAAAATAGGAAAACTGGATATTTTTTTTGATAAATTCTATCGGTTGATCCTGTCGATCCTGGAAAAAATACATTTAGTGATATAGAGTAAACTATCTCAAAAACGTACCATATTATCTGATTGGAGTTTAGAATACCTTCACATTTTTAGTATAAGTATATATTTACTATGTCGTTTACTATAATTATATTGACGGTGCGTCATATAAAGTGATGTAATGTGAAGTTTACTGGCGGTCTTGAGAGGAAGCATTACAAGCATCTGTTTCCGGTAAAAAAAAAACTTGCATATATCAGCTTTTTAAAAAAAAAGTTATCAACAAAGTTTATAAAAGTGGCTAATTTTTAAAAATTTTCTTGTGGTCTTTTTTTATGTCAGATTGATGATTACTCCAAAGAAGCAGTAAATATAAATTGATATGGGTTGGAAATTTGTCTGTACGTTGCATGGAAATGGAGAGTTAATGGCAAACAGTGACATGTTAATAAGATCTTCGGTAGCATCGCTATCCTGTCCATTCCTATCAACGACAATAATTAATATTTGACCGTCGCATAAATTTAAGGACTATACGGTGACTGGTGAGAGCTAGTTAGGTGAACGAATTAGTAATTCGTTTTACCTGCTAATAATACAAAGATGAAAGTTATTTTTCTTCTATTCAGTGTTTAGTTCAGCTTTTTTTTTTTGAGTTTTAGGTAGTTCCGTAAAATATTTAAGAAACATATGGATGAACCAATTTTTTTTATAGAATTTCGGTTATACTAATCCATTTAGGTGATTAGCAAAGAAATCATTTAGGTGTCGGATTTGACTTACTTCATGTAAAACTGAGAACTTAACAAAGTGGTAATAACCTAATGATAATTTATTAGAGATTAGTGTATATCTACTACAGTTCTAGATTTGATTCTATTAAAAATTAAATTATTAATATTTGTCTAGTTTAAATTTAAATTTCGGTTCAAATGATTTACATGATGGGTTCTAATAGATAGAAGATATCAAATTTGGATCAAACAGTGTGGATCAGCTGTAGAGTTTGATAGGCATAAAGTTATATATGTTCAGCAACATGATTTAAGTTATATATGTTCTTAAAAACTAAAAGCATATTGTACTATATTGTACCAAATTCACCCAAAATTCGAGGCATGGAAAATAAGAAAGCAGATCAATTGTACTTATAAGTTTTTACCTTGATGTATGTAATCAATTCTAGTAGTATTTTATTATAAGCAATTGCTAATAACTACAACGATCTGCGGCATAACCAAAATGAGTGGTCCACCACCATGAAGCTCGACAAGCTAAAATTTTCCACCAACCCCCACAAATTTAACCAATCAAACTTTGTTTTTCTTTTTAAACTGACATTTATTAATTTTTCTTCTTACTTTGGCTATAGAGAGTAGAGACAATATTTTCTACAACTTAGAACGCTCTGAAAACACTCTTTACTATCCCCATATACATGTGTATAAGTGTATTATATGAAACAAACATTTTGATTTTTATTTTTCACGTAGCATTTTTGTTATTTTAGTTTCTTAAAAGAATAATCGAAACATGTCCTTGAAAAAGCTTTCTGATCACATTTATATGGTCGGTCTAGAAGGGTATTTTATATTTTGACAAAAAATACTTTTAAACTTGAGTTAATTTGTGTAATAGTCAATTTTGAGAACAAAATTAAGAATATGGTATTGATGTTGACATTATTAGATCTCTTGGCATTTTCTTCTTTTTCTTCCGGTTTTCTCTTTTTCTAAGCTCGTTGACAGTAAAACATCTGTCATTTAAAAAAATAGAAAATAAAAATTGTTGTTAGAGTATAGTTCATCCACGATAGTAATATAGTAATATTATATAAATAGAATATAAGATATTAAATGGTATAGTTCATATTAGCAATTAGTCTATAATTACATGGCTTACCTCTATCGTCAATCCAAACCTTTCATAAACCAAATCCAAAATACTAATCACTAGATTAAACTATGAAAAAAATATAAACCCTAACCCAAATATCAAAATATGTATATAGTACATAATATGAAACATTATCAAATTAGAATAGTAACAAACAAAATAGTATAGTATATATTATTTAAATTTGGAAATGTCTATGATAACATGAAAGAAATTGATGCATACCCCAACTTCAACCCCAACCTTTTATAAACTAAACATAAAACTCTGATCATCAAACCCTAAAAAGAAATATAAATCCTAATCCAAATATCAAAATATGTATATAATACATAATATGAAGCAGTATTAAAATATAATAGTAACAAACAAAATAACATAGTACATATTATTCAAATATAATAGTATACAACCGAGAATTTACAAGGATGCCTCAATGGTAACGCTGTCATGATCCGTAGATTTTAGAAAAAAGGATTAGAGATTTAGATGTGGTTGTGGTAGCTATAGTGATGATGAATCATTGATGAATGTGAGTATGAATGAAATGATAATGATTATAAAAACATATTTATCATAGAAAAAAGAGATGGTACCTGAGGAGATACGATAAACACAAGTGGAACTAGAGATGATTGTATTGTAACGGTGACGGAGGACAATGTAATTGAGATCAAAGTAGAGTGGTGGTAGTTGATGAAAGAAGAAGAAGAAGAAGAAGGTATTTTGATATTTGATTAACCGAATACAAGAGGTAATATTGTATATATTACAGAAATAATGGAGAAACTTTTTTTGTTAGATATTTAATTATGCCTTATTTTGTAGCTATACAACCCAATTTCCCTTTAAACTTGAATAATATCGGATGCTTGTCCACCATCTAGTATTTTCCGTGATTAACTTTTCCTTTACTGATTCGTTTCCATGACTCTAGTTGAGTCCCCTTTTTTTGCATGCTTGCATGAGGACTAAAAGATAGAGCGATTAGGTCGGACTTCTCTTTTAACGTTTTGAATTCTTGAGATACCATTTTTTAATTAAGGAAGTCTAACTAGTCTTCCCGTAAGATCTAGAACAAAATATACTTTCATAGTTGCATTCAATTCGTGTTCAGTCCAAAATATATAGATTATGGAGACAACCTAAACATCCATAACATTCTGTCAGTACTAACGAGTTAACTCTGCTATCCATTCAACAAGCCAAATAGGTTACATATTAAGGAAAATATGGTTAAAAGACTAAAATACCTTTAACCACAAAGTAAAACATATGGGAGGTAATACACTATACCAACCGAGAGAGAGAGAGAGAGAGAGAGAGAGAGAGAGAGAGAGAGAGAGAGAGAG